TGAGCAATCCACCAATGTGCATGGTTAAGTGTTAATAATATCAACCTGTGCTTACAAACTCAAATGCCTGCAGAGAAAGCCTGAACCATCGTGGCAGGCTCGGGGTGAGGCAGGCAGTGGAACAGACAGACTGTGTACACCGAAGACAGCAAGCCGGGTGCAAGAGGAAGAGGATGACTGGGGCTCCGACCGGCTCCATGTGGCGGGGCCGCACCACCCCGCACTGACCCGGGAGGAGCGGGAAACCTGGATTTCAAAGCAAGTTTATCTAATTTTTAAATATTGGCAGCTAATCTCTAAAATTAAAAAGTGCCAAACCTCATTCTCAAGCCACTTGTAATCCTTTATGTAATTTCTAGATGATAACAAATTAAAGTTATAATTTGAAAAATAGCAACGTAGGAAATTCTCGGATTTCAATGTACTGTGATTCCCTGACTCTGATGAATGGTCTTTGTCCTTACTGCAAAATTTCTAATTATTTCAGTTTTCAAAGATTCTTTGATCACGGCATTATCCCTCTTATGACTGAGCTACAAGTACTCAAAGCTGGCTTAGCCCAACTTCCCCGCTCTCTGTACGGTCTCCCTCTTGGATTCATTCGGTCTCAGCTCAGACGTCCCTTCCACGGACAAGCTCTCCTTAGGCAACTCTTCTAAAACAGACTTTCTCCATATTGCTCTTCCCTTTGCCCTTTTAACTCTTATTAGTATCTGAAAAACTACATTTTTATTTGCATATAATCTATCTTCACTAAAATGTTGGTTCCTTGAGAATAGGGCATTGTCTGTTTTGTTTCTTGCTAAATTTCTAGAACCTACCAGGGTCTGGCAGTGTTAAGCACCCCATAAATGCTAAGTAAACAGATGAGTGGTTCTGCTAATATGAGATGGTGCCAAGACCATCCCTTCCCCAAGACTGTGGCAAAAACATGGACGTGGAAACAAATTAATGAAAATGTAACTCCTGTATAAGCCAGTTACTGATTGTTGACACTGGGATAAATCTACAAATCTGTTTAAACCGGACTGTCACACGAAGTGTAAGACTCAGTATTGCCTGTGGTGAGCCTCCTGGTACTGGCCCAGCAGAACTGTGCAGTGACCATGTAGAAATCACCCTGAAGACTGCCCACGCTTCACCAAATGAAAGGAGAATACTGACAGATATTTTCCTAGAATATAAACGCTTTCTGTTTTGAAATATTCTTGGGGGAAAAAAAAGAGCTGGGAGTCATTAAAAGTTTTAAAGGTTCAAGTTGAATAATTCAGGTTAAGTAAGAAAAATATATTAACTTCTAAACAATGACTTCTGCTTTCATCCACCTGGAGTTTTATTTGTTGTCAAGCTGATAACAGCACAAAGAAATAACTTTAGAAGGGAAAGAGGTGCAGAATGCCGCTCTGCTGGCATGGCAACTCTTCCGCGAGTCCCAAGCATCCTGCCAATCCTAGTCTGCACACACGTTTTAGATCAACGAGCGAGACTTTCTCTTCTGGGGACACTCAGCTGGAAGGTGACAGCGGCTCACTCTGCGGGAGGCAGCGGCTCTGGGTCAGCCTCGGAAGTCCTGGTCCATCTTAGGGCACAGTGCCACTCCACTGTGCTTGTACTGCGATCGCCCTGTCAGACCGACATCTGGACGGTTATTCCTGGGAAGTAAGGGGATGCACGTGGAGAAGCTGCCCAGTATGGTCCAGATCCTGAGCTGAGTCCTGCCGTTCTCCATGTCTGTCCTGATGCTGTGCAGGGTCAAGCAGGAAAGACCAGCACGAGACCAGACCGTCAGGGAACAGGGGAAAAGTCCTCGTGATTTCTCAGTAAACACAAGCCTCTGGCATTATTTTATCTCTTTCACTGTCCGGGACAAAGTTCAGCAGACGGAGTGTGCTAAATACGTGCTTATTTATGACATGAAAGAGTAATCTGACTGGATTAACCCAGCGACGAGGCGAAGTGTCCCACCTGTGCATGTCAGGACTGTCCCATTTGGAGCTCCTGCTGAGGCCCTGGGAGTGTGCATTTGCGTCACTTGCCCGGCCTCTCTGTCCCGTGGTCCTCAGGGAAGGGACGGTGCCGTGCTCATCTGAGCATCCCCGCTCCCCCGCCGAGGGCCTGGTATCTGGTCATCATCCCAAGGGTCACAGACTGAGCAACCCTGCCTGCCTCTGCGCTCACTCAAAGGAAAGACCAAGGGAACGCGTCTGACCAAAGGCGGACGGATTCTCTTCACATCTTTGCTCTGGAAAACGCTCTGAAGAGTGGCCTATGACAGAGGAAGGTGGGCACCTGAGAACTCCCTCCCTCCCTCCGTCTGAGCTCGGCCTTTTCCCTCCCTTCACGCTTTTCTCTCCACACTCCCAGCCCCGATGTCTAACTGTGAAGTCTTGAGCCTGCCTCACAAAGCCGGGTGACACAATTTTCTTTTAATTAGTGCATTCATAATAGCAACAATAATGCTAATCATTAATAAGTTGCTCGCCCCACTTAGGAACCAATACAAATGGCAAGAAGTCAATGTCAACTTTAAAACATGTAAACAGCAATCCAGGAAGGCCAAGCGCAGTAACCTTTTGACATGATTAATGGCAAAGAACACATCCCGCCAAGCCTGGAAGCCAAGGCTACAGAAACTGCAGCCCGTTCCTCCGTTCGCACTTTCCATCATGAAGTCAGTTAATTACCGTGAAGTGATTCTCAAAGCTCTGTTTTCCTTAAATATGACATAATGCTTCAGGTCCATCTGGCCCCGAGTCCATGGTTTTCCTGCACACAGTGGGTGTTATGTAATTCTTTTCTTTACTGTTTCTCTTTTTTTCTTTCTTCCTCCCTCCTTCCTTCTTTCTGTACCACTGGAGATGGAACCCAGGGAGTACTGAGCTACATATACAATCTTAAAATTTTTTATTTATTTTTTAAAATTTTGAAGCAGGGTCTTGCTAAGTTGCCCAGGCTGTGCTTGGGCTTGTGATCTTCCTGCCTCAGCTTTTTTAGTAGCGAAATTTACAACTGTAAATGGCTAATTCCAATATATTTTTGCTCAATGAATGAATAATCACATCTCAAAGATGTCCTGGCACCTCTCCTAGGAAGAAATATCATTCCCATGATTCAGAAAATCATGAAGACAGTTCTCAAATGTCAGACTGACCCAGGATTTGCCAAAAATACCCATGAGGGTCTGAATAGTCCTTCATCAATTTCTAACTTTCATAAACATTTTGATAGGCCTTAATCCAGTCACATCGCAGATCATCAAGGTAGCAGATTTCTGACCAAGTGCTGCTGCCTAAAATCTGTGTACGCATGCCTTTATTCTCGTGATTGGGTAGGCAATCTGTGGTCAGGGAAAAGGACACTTAACTTTTTCAGGCTGTGACTCCCGCTTGCTTTGCGGGGCGCCCTGCACATTCTTCCCAGTTCCCAAGTCTGGGAAACGGCTGTGACTACAGCTTCTCCGCTCAGCACAGTGACACCCAGAGATCTGGGCGTTGCCCGGGCATCCCTGCCCTCCAGCTCCACCGCGCAGCACCGGGGTGTAGAGCTGGGACCCACAGGCAGCCCTGGCCCTCGTGACAGGCCCAGGATGTCTGTGATCATTTCCTCTGCTGCCTTTCGTATCACTGAACTGGAACCATCAGGCCTGCCAAGAGCAAGGGCCCAGGATGAAAGGCCAGTGCATTAGGACGGAGCGTAATTGCCAGGTTCTGAGTTCTGACAGTAATCGTTTCACCCGCAGACAGCGGAGTCCCGTCCCTCCGGCTCCCTCCGGCTCCCTCCGGCTCCCTCCGGCTCCCTCCGGCTCCCTCCGGCTCCCGCTGTCTTCTCTTTCCTCTCTCTCGCTGCCAGCACACAGGAGTCGTGGAGAGGGGATACAACCACCGCCACCAAGCTTTGCTAATTAAAAGTAATATGTTTTCCTTTCCTTTTTTTTCTTGGCAATTTGATAATACAAAACACTTACTTGGGGGCCACAAGGGGAAACAAACTGAGACAGATAAAAAATGTTTTGTGTTCATCCAAGCACAGCTACGTTAATGCGTATTATCCCATTAATGTGCATCGGCGTCGGGAGTCAGCTCACCAATGCAAGCAAGAAGCACACACTTATCATCGTTTGATAACATGTTTAATGACAGATTGACGGGAGATTTGCAAATGTGAACTGGCATCAGTGTTGCTAACTTCAGCTTCTGCCGCCGCCTCTGCTACGCCAGCATATTTATGTGCATAATTTGATTTCTCAGCCACACTGTTAGTACATTTTTAATATTAACTATGCACGAACAGACAGCCGAACTTAAGTTGCACTGATGGTTGGAGTTCATTAGATTGAAAAAGATGGGCGTGCGTGACTCAGATGGAGGTGGCGGTCCAGCATCTGAGAAGCAGCGCTGAGCAGACCACTCCATCTCCTCGAGCCCGGGCTGCGCGAGGAACGAAGGAGGAAGTGGAGGAAGAAGAGGAAGGCCCAGCCCAGGCGCTTGGCCGGGACGCCACAGAGCCCGGGCGCTGCCAGGCCATGTTTGCCTTCCTAACCGCCGCCTCCTTCACCCAAACCCACCGAGACACCGCTCAGGCCTCTGCTTCCTCGAGTCAACTGCAGCGCGGAGGCAAGCAGTGACTCCTGTTCATCACTCCTCGTCGCTCGGGTCGCTGTCCACCTGCTCAGGGAAACCTTCCCTCCAGGGACACGGGGTGCCTCTGTCTATCTGGAGAGGCCACCAATCTGTACATCAACAAACACCTGCAAGACCCGGAGGCCTGGCTTCCCTGCACACCTGCTCTTCTGCATCTGCCAAATGAGCACGAGGGTAGCCCTGATCTCCCGGGGTGGCCGGGTTTAAAGAAGAAAACAGAGAAGTGCTAAGCCCATGTTGTCTGACCTTCTTCAGGTCTCAGCAAGGGTGTCACTTCCTCACAAGGGACCCGCCTGGCCACTCACATAAAGCAGTTGTCCTGGTTCCTGTCTCTTGCTGCTGCTTCTCGGCACTTAGGAGCCCTGAACCACCTCGGCTGTGGGCTGCCATCTTCACTGTCATTACCAACCAGCCCGGAGCCTCTCTGAGGACAAGGCTTCCCTCTGTCTCTCTCTGGACCCCAGGCCTGTCGCTCTCCCTGTGCATGGTTTGTGTTTAAGGTGATCTGCAGACTGAGGGTGGGGGAGGACGAGGCCTGCTCAGGTGGGTGTGTTCATGCCGGTGGGGTCTGCAGGTCAGGATGTAGCCCGGCTGGCTCCACTCAGGGGGTGCTGGGTCCCTAATCCCAGGCCATGGGCATGTGTGTCACACTCAAGCCACAGCAGTAACCGGGCATTTATTGTTCTGGTACTAACTTGCTTGTTTTGCCACATTCTATCACAGGAGGTCACTTGTTGCTATCAGCCGTAGCGTGTGGACTTCATGATACAAGCTGGCCTGCTGTGAAAGCCCACCATGGAGGGGCCCAGGGAAGAGCGGCTGCCGCGTTCCTGGTTTCAGGGAATGCATTCACCTCAGGAAGTTTCTGTGGCGTGTGACATATGTGTCCGGTCAGCTCGACATCTTCAAGGAGCTTCCTGGGAAGGCGGGAGAGGCACTCATGCACATAGCACACAGCCGTGAGCCAGTTTTGCACACAACAGCCAGGGTCACCTGTATAAATGCCAACAGGCGATGCCACTTCACTGTTTAAAGCCCTTTAGTGTATAGAAAATATATATCTAGTCACCATTTCTTGTATAATTGGGCCTGGGCTCTTTTCAACCTTGCTCTCTTACAAGTCCAATGAGCCTGGCCCTCTTTTGGTTTCTCCCAGCTCACACTGGCCTCAGGGCCTTTCCACTTGCTTCTGTCTGAAGCCCCTTCTGATTTCAGGACTGGGTCCCTCAGAGAAGTCTTCCTGGACCAGCTAGAGTAAACTGGCATCCCTGCTACTTGGATCCTCTGTACTCTGATCCCTGTGTGGGATCTGAAAGGATCTCACTTGTCATCTCCTGAGTACCTCGTCCAACAGGACAGGAGGTCCCTGTGGGGATAGGAAACGCTATTCTGTTCACTGCAGTATCCTAGGAGCCTATATAGTGCCAGACAGAAGGAAGAACATATATAAGTTAGTATCACGTAGCTATGAATTTTATAAAGGAAGCAAACAAACCAAAAAGAGGTATTGAGAGAGACATGAGAGACCTGAACCGCTCGAGACTAATACACAAGCCAGATCTAGCCTGCCGTCGAGTTTGTAAAGACTACAAACTTGAGAATAGTTTTTGCATTTTTAAATGGCTACAGCAAAAATCAAAAGAACGGAATTTTATAACATATGGAAATGAAGTTCCAGTGTCCAGTGAAGGGGTTTTACTGGACACTGGCCCACCCTCATTCTTTTCCGTAGGATCTGCCTTTACGCTACAAGAGTAAACAGGAGAGCTGTAACAGCGGTATGTGGCTTTGTTATACTGGAAGTACTTATAGCTGGTCCTTTCCGGGAAAAGTATGGCGACTTCTGACTTAGGTAAGGTATTCCGGGAAGAGTCCTTAACAAAGATGATGCCTACATTGAGATTTAAAACACGAGAATGGTTCACCTGCAGTTCAGAAAGACTGTTCAAAGTGCTCCAGGTAGAAAAAACATCGTTGAAATGGAAGCTCTACTCAGTGGCATCTGAACTCTGACCTGAGACTTTTAAACTGCCAGCGCGCACCGATGGGCCGAGGCAGGGTAGCAGGCAGAGCTGAAAAGAACTAAGCATGGCTACTGCATCAGTCCTTGCGAGAGGGGGGGCTCTGTCCAGATCCCAGCCGCAGTGAAGCAGAGTGGAACGGGAGAAGCGGGCGGCATCGCAGAGGTCTAACCAGGAGCACTCGGCGGAGGGCAAGGAGACAGGGGAGACAAACCCGAGGAAACACGGATTCTCAGCCAGGGCGCCGTGACAATGGTGGCTTTACCTTACATGGGAGCACGGGCAGGCATCAGGAGAGGGGCCGATGGCCGAGTCAAGCTTTCACAAGACAAGCTGGATTCAGGGTCGTTTCTCACCAAAGCACGCGGACATGAGCTCCTCTGAGCACATCTGTCAGCCCCAGATAAACATGCCGCTGCTAGCCTGTTTCCATGGGTGTGACTGAACCCAGGCCCAAAGACAGCACTCCATCAGCCTAACTTGGGGCATTGCTTCCACGTCTGCACCCCAACGGGCCACCAAATCCGAGTGTGGTGTGGTTGGCACCGTAGGGAAGCAGGCACTCTTTCCTGGAGGCGCTCCTGATCGATGCGTGGGAAGCTGAGCTGGTCCACGCCTGCTTGCCACTTGCCTAAGCGTGAAAGCCACCAGAAGAAAGCAGAGCTGAAACGGAGAACCATCAAACTGGCGGCGTGGTGTGTCTCTTTGGAAACCAGGACTCCTCTGTGCCTCAAGTCAACTCTGTCCTCGCACGAGCTGATACATTCCTTGCTTTACTTAGCTAGGTTTGCCTTGGTTCACAGCCAATTGTAAACAAGAGCTTTTGATAAGCATGGCTGAGAGTTAACATGCCCAACAGCTGAAATGACTGCTTACAAAATAATCGTATGGCCGATCTCTTCAGAGTTAAGGAAGATCCTAAGTGGAGTCAAGAGGCAGAGCTACTTCCCTGACAATCAGTCAGGTGCTTCAGATGAGATCCCTGAGGTGGCAGAGATAACTGGGTGACGTCATCCATCTCTTTAGGTTCACGCACCTTTGTGCCTCTGCTTCAGGCTGCCTGGCTTTGAAGCCAGGTTCCACTACTCACTAGTTATAAGAAGTGGTGTCCTCACCTCTGTCAGACACAGTCTCCTCATCTGTAAAATGAGGAGAGCTGTCTGCTTTCTGGACCTTGTGGAGAGAGATGAAGGAGAAAACCCAGGTATTGCTTTAAGCTGGTGTCTCTCAGTCCTGAGCAAGCAAACTACGTGGTTCTTTCAGTGTGATCCCTGGACCAGAATCACTGCTATGATCTAGCAATGTGTTAGGAATCTGAATTATATCAACTGAACACTCTGAGGAAGGGGCCCACTCCTCTGTGGGATAAACAGGCCCTGCAGGTGCTTCTGAAGCACGCTCAGGACTAAGAACCACCGGCTTGACACACTGCCCAGATTTCCCCCTTTATTTAAACCCAGGCAGACCGGACCATGTACCTCTCTAATGATCCCCAGTGAGAGTGGACAAATCCACGCAGTGCCGTGTTCCCAAGCAGGTGTCTGCCTCGTGTTTCCTTGGCTGGCAGCCACACTGCCCCAGAGCGACTCTACCCATCACTAGCCTTTTGCAGATCCTACTGAACTTTAGGACAACTTCTCAACCTCCAAGCAAGTTTCCTTAAAAGAACAGTCTCAGCTTTAACCAGACCTCAGGTAGGTCCTCTGGGGTCCCGGTGAGCACACAGGGAACTTGAAATCAACAGCTTGCAAATTCCTATTCTGAAAATCCCCTCTCCCCTTTAAGCCCCCTTCTCTGTGCCCTGCATTTCCTCCCAGGGAAGGCTGTGTGGTTACAGATGCCACACTGCCTGCTGAGATTTATAGGCAATTGTTAACGTTTAGTTGGAATCCCCATTTCAGATGTGGAAATGGCTCATCATGTTCAACACAAGGGCCTCCCTGCAGCGATGTATAATTTAAAAATTAACTTGAGGACAGAGAAGACTGCATTTTTGAACCAGGAAGTGAGAGAAGCAGAGGTCAAAGCTTGATAAGGTGAGCTCAAGGAACTGGATGAGTTATTAAGCAAATGTCTCTGCTACATGCGTCCGTGACTCCAGAGCATTTCCAGTGTCTTCCAGTTCACTCGCACTTGTCAAAGTGCAAGCATGCAAGTGGTGTATTTTTATTAGGGTATCTCTTCCCATTGTTAGGAAAGTTCTCTAATTCCTGACACAGACCTTTCCAATATAAAACATTTTGCTGTCGGGAAGCAAGCAAACCAGGAAAAAAAAAAAAATCAATGCTTGAGCTCCAGCGAGGGGCAAACAGATCTAAATGGCAAGACCCAGATAAGTTTAATCAGAGACACCGGGGAACCATGGCTGTTTACAGCGTCCCTGGCTCTGGGTGGAAAAGGCTCCAAAGGACTTTGGATGGGAACACCCGCATTCTCATGTCTACGGAAAGGGATAGAACCTGTGATGGGGACAGAGCAAAAAAGACAGGGAAAGAGACAATGAGCTCGTGAGGAAGGAAAATCGGGTCGTGTTTTGCTTGTGTAATGCCTGAGACACTTTAGAGCTTGTAGTGGTTCAGCCCTTCCTGGCCTTGTGACCAAGTCACTGCTCCTGCTTTGCTCCAGCATCAAGTGGTTACAATTATGGGTTGCAAATTTATTGACATCTGACATCTACAGCAGCTTTTCCCTGATCAACCGAACTCTCTGCTGCCAAACAGAATAATTATGGAAGATTTCAGCAGGCATGGGGATGCCAAAAAGGTCACTAAATCATTTTGAAAAAACAATGTGTTCCTCCATTTCATCTCGGCAGTAAGTCTGCAGGAGTTGGACCACCTAGTGTGGAGTCTCGGGGGTGGCAGGGGTAAGCTACAGAGGGGGGAGTAAAATTCGGATTGAAATATGGGGAAGCAAGCATATGGGAACCTTTGTTTGTATTTCATAATTTTTGGAGAAGCATAAAGATAATGGTTTGCTTTTTCGCAATGGGAAGGGGGCAGGAATTGTGTGTTTAGGACCTAGGGCTGGCCCCAGAGGGACGGGAGGAGTCGTATCTCCTCCCTCCGATCTGGTCCTGAAGACGTGAAGCTGACAGGATCCATCCCCATGTGCACATTCTTCTTGTCCGACCCCCTTCTCCTTCCCAGACACACACAGCCCTGAGTAACTCAGGATTCTTTTGCATCGGCTCATTCTTCCCGCATTCACAGCCTCCCCAGCACCCCAAAGCACCACTATCCGTCCACCAGCTCTCTCTGGCCTCTCGTTTCTTGACTGTCCTTGTCTACTGCAGACTCAGTGCCAGGTGATCTAAAAGGGGAAGCGGCCACTTGTCTGCATAAATACCACCGGTGGCTTCTCACTGAGCTGAGGGCAAAAAGCAACTGAATTGTAAAAATGTTCTACAAAGCCCTGAGTTGTCCCATGCCTCCACCCTCGTCTCATGTCTATTGTGTGACAATGACCTTTCTCTGACTCAAACACATCCACCCTTTTCCTGCTGCTCTTGCGTGGGATAATCTCTGTCCAGGTGACACATGCTTGGTTCCTTCCAGCCACCCGTGTTGCTCCCCTGACTCCTGGAGGAGGTGCCCATGGCCCAGCTGCCTGTACTGCATTTCCTTCATTTCCAAAAACTATCATTTATGTTGATGTGGCCAAACATGCTCAGTATCCTGTATCCTCTCACTAGGACCTGAGGTCTATGTTATTCTCTGATGTAGCCAGCACTCAAGACCAGAATCTGGCTTCTAGAAAGTTCTCTAGGAGTATCAGTAGATAAAGCAAAAACTGAAGGTCTCTGGTCCACCAGCCACTGCAGTGCACAGGACACAGGAGGTTCACTCACCTGGAAGCACTTACTGACCCTCCCGAGGGCATCTGTACTAAGATACACAAACCCTGTGATGGAGTAGTCTTTCTCTGGACAAATCATTGGTTTGGGGCACTGGAAAGGATCCTCCCTTGCCCACACTTTCCTGGCCTTTGCAAAGCTTGACAGCTGCTTTGCTGTCATGTGCTGGGTGCTGTGCAGTGTTTTACAGACTTTGTCTGTTGAGCTGTCTCACTGAGGGGTGACAGGTACTGCTATCATCTCACACGTGGGGATGTCATCAGAAGGAAGTTATGATCACTTCCCAAACAGCGCTCCTCCCTCCTGTGCTTCACTCCCTCCCTTACTTCCCTCCAGGATCTGGAGTCTGTGTTCTAGAGAATACAACGCTGAGCCCATCAGACACAATTCCTGCCCTCCTAGAGCTCAGGGGTGGATGCGGAATTGGCCTCCACTCGGTTCCCAGCCCTGCGGTGTCAACGTCATGGAAACGAAGACATCACTGTTTAACAGTGTTCTACACCCATCTTTCCCAGTGGAGGTCCCTTCCAGCTGTTGATATCGTCAGGATTAAACCTGTTGAGACATCTTCACCTAACCTGGATTTGAAGGGGCTGCATTTTAATAACCTTGTGAGGGCAGCTCTTGTTAACTGAGGAGTTCTAAGTGCTTGATACTTGTCTATGCAGGCTTGCTCTGATTTTTCCTTATACCATCATGTGATGTCAGCCTTTGTGCAGTCTCATGACAGAAAGGGCAGCTGGGTACAGAGAGTGATGTGACCTGACTCACCCACTGACTCAGCTGCAGGCTGTTTCCTGCTCAGGATTTCTAGGACTCAGGAGCTCCCCATCTCCTGGGGCAGCCTCTGCTCTCCATCCACCAAGGCCTCCCTTCTCTCATCTGTCTCACACTGCTGAGATGGAGAGATCCTGATTGGTTCTTTGACTTCTAAGCCGGAACAAGAGACTATCCAATAGGGATTCATCTCCATGGTTACCGCACACAAGAGAATCCAAAGGAAGGTACCACGGGGGGGGGTGGTGGTGGTGGGGTGGGGTGGGGTGTGGAGGCTCCAGCAAAATGGGGAGAGGAGGGAGTCACAAACAATTAAACGTGACAAAATTCCCTAGTGAACAAAAATAGAATTATTTGACTGTGAAATCAAGTAATGCAGCACTGAAAATAACACAACCTGTAACATCATTTTTTTTCCTTATCCATAAAAAAATATCAGCTAAAACTATGCACATTTAAAGTACCAGTCTGCTGGAGGGTCTGAGTTGTAGAAAGTTGTCTGCATCAAAGATTTGGGTTTTAAAGTTTTTAAAAGATGTTTTCCTTCTTTTTGTGTCCATTCCCCTCTTCTCTCAGAGTAATTTGCACGTCCGCATCTCAAACTTGGGCAAGAATTTGACTAAGAGATGCTAGAAGGATGCTGAGAGAATTTTTGCCAGAATTCTGACTTGAGGTCAATAATTCATTTGTCTGCACTTGACTGCTGGTCTACTGCTCCTAGTGGACTTCCCTTGCTGGTCACCTCGGGTCACTGCAGGCTTGTTTCTTCACCTGTAAGCTGGGTGCCATCACAACTCTTTCTTTAGAGCTCAGGAGCAAGATTATCTGACTGAGCACATTAGGCTTCACTGGTTTGTCTGGAGGAAAGCACAAGACTCTGGGGTTTTGTACTGACCAATGTACTGGCTAAGGGGGTATGTCCAGGGGTGGCCACTTTGCCCTGAGGGTGCTCTGCATGTGTAGGCACAGCAGCTCCAGAGGAGGGCGAGGAGGGGTGTGGTCCATAGGGGACAGTTGCAGGTACCTCTGATCAAAGGACAGAGTAGTGGACAAGGATGCAGGATCAAGGATTTGAGTGCATCTCTACTATGTCCTCTGCAGCTGGATTTTACTGTGGCCAGTTACTGATGCCACTCTTACAGAAAAATTCCTGTTGCCTCCAACTCAAATCCGTGGAAAAGAATAGAATCCATTTAACTCTCAGAGGTGATGCTAAAATGTAGCGGATGATTTTATAAAACAACCAAATATTAGAAAAAATAGAGCTCAGCAAAGGTTAGTCCTCCAACATCAAGGAAAACAAAGACAGCAGTGATAAGGAGTGATAATCAAATCACCACCACCATCACACCATCTGAACACCATGAGTATCATCATCGCCATCACCAACACCACCAACAACATCATCACCATCACCACCAACACCATCATCATCACCACCATCAACAGCAGCAGCATCACCATCACCATCATCGCTACCATCACCGCCACCATAACAACATCACCACCATCACCATCTGAATAGAAAATTCTGGTTCCAATCTTCCCAAGTGTGGCCCAGCCACCAGTGAATCTGCACTGTAACAAGTGAAGTACTTCAGGGGAGACAGTCACAGAGAGAAGGATGTGAGAAGGAAGGAAATGACAAGTTGATTCCAAGGCCAATCCCTTCTTGGGGCCATGCTTCCCTCTCCCTCAGAGCTGTTTTAGATAAATCTGTATCCACAGTCTCCTTATTTATTCAAATAAAATAGCACAAGCCATCCCACATCTTGATTCAAGCCCTAAGCAAACAATGGTGTGTGTGTGGGGGGGGGGCTGAGGCAGGCAACCAGGGTGGGGGGCAGGGAAGGAACGCAAAATTCATCAGGCACCTGCTCTGTGCGCTAGATCCAGCACTAACACCCCCCAGCCCTGGGCTCTCTTACCTAACCCTGACCACACACCGCAGCGTGAGCAAGAGCCCCATCAGGACAACAGGCGCCACCTACTCTGTGCCGTGCGGTTCTATCTGTCTGGACGTAGATTTTATGAGCTTTTCCAGCAGCACTGGAAGATCAGCATCACTAGCTGCACTTTAAGGATGAGGGAGCCAAAGCTCAGGAAGAACTAATGGCCCGACCAGATTCTGTTCACAAGCTGTAGTGCTCGGATCTGCACCCAGCTGCGTATGAACCTGGAGTCAGTGCTGAGCTCTCTGACAGTCAAGACAGACAGCAGCTCGGATTCACTGAGCACTTCTCATATTCCAGGCGGTGGACGCGGACTGCCTCGTCCTCAAAAGGGACCAGGGAGGAAAGGTAGTTGATAAGCCTGACCATGCGCAGACTTGAGGTTTAGAGTAACTCTAAGCGGCTGCCCCAGGTAGATTTCATTATCCTTTGTCATCCATTGATTGTTACATTAATGATGAAGATGAAACACCTGAAGGCTAGCCCTGTACTCATCCCAGGGGAAAGCAGAAGCAGAGCAGATGTTTGAACCCCGGAAGACGAGCTCCACACCCCACGCGCCTCCCACGAGTGGTACCAGAGTCAAGCTGCCGTGTGTCCTCACGGTCTTCTGTTGTTCCTGCTCCACTCCTGGCCTTGTATCGCCTCATCTAGGCCCACATCACCCCTGAGTCTCGAGCACAGAAGCATCTCGGCTTCCCAGTTACAGAGGAGTTGCTCTCCTTGAATTTTTTAGGCTTAGTCCCTTTGACTAAACACATCATAAAGAGTCAGAAGCGGTTCAAGCTCAGGCCTGCGTCTTGCACACGCCTCCCTCATATTTTGCCTACAACATACATACCCGGGGCTCTCACCTGAGAAGACCAGAAGGCACCCAAAGGCCCTTCTCTCCCTTTACGAGAGCCAGGTCAAAGCTGACACCTTCTCCCCAGAAGATGCACAACACTCCTCAGCAAACCAATTCCTTTGCACCCTCGAATCTGCTGCTTTCTGACACTCAAAAAGAATGACGGGGCAGGGTTAAGACCGCATGCGCTGATGGAGTCTAATCCCAGCTTCAGTGCTAGCAGCCGGGAGGCTGTGGGCAAGCTCCCCGAGCCCTGACAACTCGCTTTTCCTAGCTGCCCCCGCAAAGAATGGTTCTGTCATAAAAAGAATTACTTCAAAAAGTTGTTGGAGGAGCTAAGCTGGACTGCCAACCTCT